AGAAAAAGGATGTATTTCAGAAATTAGAAGCATGTATTCTTCATCATTATCTAAATATGAGATTTACATCAAGTCTTTATTCAAATACTGTACAGTATCGTGGATTTCAAGCTGTGACCAGTACAGAAGCAGGACTTATACTGGCTTTGTCCACTGGAAACTCAGTGAACTCTGACAATATTACTCTGAATTCATCTCCTGTGAGTGTTTCTTTCTCTAAAAGCACTTCAACCAGCTTGTCCATGGCTGCTCTGTTAGCACTTCAACCAGCTTGTCCATGGCTGCTCTGTTATTTCTTATGTGGTTCTTGGCTATTTCATATGCATTGCCTATAATTATCTTGACTGACTTATCAATGTCCTCTGCAAGTTTCTCAGACATGGAATTCCTTGCTAGCATTCTTAGAACCACATCGCTGCTTTGGGCTGCTGGTTCAGTCAATGACCATGATCCGATCTCCGACATCCCAAACATTGTAACGACAAAAGGAAGAAAGTAGAGATTAAGTAAATCTCCAAAAGGAACCATTTTTGTTTAGTATTTGTTTAGAGAGATTTATTCAATAATTAAAGAAATAGTAGGATAATAATTAAGATTCTAAGATACATCAAATAAATGAAAAGGTTGATCGCCTTCCTATCCCTCCATTTGATATTCTGAAAATATTCCACTTCAAAATATGCTTTGAATATCATCTAAATTGTGAATTTCGACGGGTGTGTTTTCCCTTGATTGGTTAATTCCTACAGTTTTGTCACTTCACTGTTTCTAAACCAAAAAGCAAAGCAAGATTTTGAAATACTAGTAAGCTTTGTTGAATTCAAATTTCAATTTTAGTAAATCTTACTCAGGCAGGCACATAGGCCTAAGTAATTTATTATTTACCTTGCCCCTTTTCTTTTAATTTTTTTTATTTTATTATGTTCATGCCAGTGTTCGCAAAACCGGCCAATCTAACCGCTAACAGCTTGGTTAGATCGGAACCGGTCAATGGCCGGTTCCGGTTTTGGGCGGTATTGGTGATCAACCAGTATTTTAAACGTTAAATAGAATACTACTTTAAACTTATATCATATCTTTTAGAATGGATTATTGGTTAGCAGGTTCAAATCCCGCCGCACCAACGCTTTTATCTTTTGGTTGCGTTTTTCCTTCATTTCGAAGGCTCAAAAAATTCACCTCCATTTTGAAGGTTCAAAAAATTTACCTGCCCAATAGAATTGAACTAGAAAACTTCTAGTAAAAAAGTCCTTTATTTTTTCCTTCATTTCGAAGGCTCTAAAAATTTACCTCCTTCATTTCAAAGGTTCACAAAATTTACCTGCTCAAAAAATTTACCTGCCCAAAAAATTTACCTGCCCAAGAGAATTGAACTCAAAAACTTCTAGTAATAAAGTCCTTTATTATTAGACCCACTAACCAATACACCATTTACTACTTAGTTGACAAAAAGAAAGGCTTATATTATATATAACTTAATTTTTTCTTCATTTTCTTTTAAAAATAGAGTTTGTCAAGTCTTTAATATTCATTACATTATGGTAAAGATTAAAAACAACTTAGTCATTGATAATCACTTTTATATTTCTCATCTTTTTTAAAAAAATTAAAAAATGCCCCTAGGCAAAAGCGATTTGTTCAAATCCATTTGTTCATTAATTTTCAACTTAATTTGAGTGTGTTTTGTTTTATTCACATTGTTATATGGTTTTCATATTTTAGTAGATTTTTTTTTGCATCCTTTTTATTTTTTTTCAACACTTTTTGATTGTTCAGGACTTGCCCGGTTAGAGCGGTTGAATCGGCCGGTTTACTGGTTTTGACCGGTTAAAGTGCTTCTGGACCCATGTCCAGTTAACCGTTTTGGTTCGATTTTGCGAACACGGGTTCATGCATGATCAACTGTAAAACAACAGCAAACTATGTTATGATACTAGTTTATTAATTTTGCACTAACAATTGCTTCTCCGTATGCGATTTGTAGTATGTATTGATAAATAAACACAAGCATTGATCCTAGAGTATATTGTACATATTGTGCAAATAGAGATGTTAGGTAAATGAAAACTTTACCTGTTTTGCTACCTGGGTGACCTGTTGCAAGTCCCTTGCTGCACTAGTGGTGACCTCAGACTCTCCAAAAATCACTTCCTCAGCTGCTCTTCCTCCCAGGCCTCCAACTATTCTTGTCAATATTTGTTGCTTGGAAACAAGTGTTGGGTCATCTCCAGGAATAAACCAAGTTAGCCCACATGCCTGACCTCGAGGAATTAGAGCAACTTTTTGAAGGGTCATGCCCTGGCGTCAATGTTCTGGATATAACACAACAGAAACTGTTAGATTAAGGGACATTTCAGACAAATGAATCGAATTCTTGGATAACAATATTCTTTTTCCATGTTAATCATTATATTAGCTTAGAAACTAGAGAAGAAATCTCAATTTTGCCTAATGCTGTTCTCTGTCTCTGATCGATGATAGCTGTAGGGACTCATGGTGTTCTCAGTATTGGTAGCATTTTCGAAAGTTGGTCTATCTCAATTTAGAGTCTGTGTGTTATTAGTCTCTGGTTGATGGTATCTCTTTATAGAACTTATCTCTCTCTCTCTCTCTCTCTCTCTCTTTCTCTCTCTCTCTCAGTTGAATTTCATGTGGGTGCATGAGTCTGTGCTAATGCTTATGCAGCAATGGCATGCCCAATTTCATCATAAGCCACAAGGATTTTGCTTTTCCCATCTGTCATTTGTGTACCCTCCATTTCTGCAACTATTCTATCAATTGAATCATCAATCTCCTTAACTGTTATTTTCTCTTTTCCACGCCTACCAGCAAGTATAGCAGCCTCGCTCATGAGGTTAGCAAGGTCGGCTCCACTGAACCCTGGTGTTCTCATGGCTACAACATTAAGAGACACATCCGTGTCAAGTTTCTTGTTGCTACTGTGTACCTTGAGAATTTCTTCACTTCCTCTTACATCAGGGAGGCAAACAGTCACCTGTTCAAATTACGAGTTTAGGAAAATTTTGTAAGAAACTTCTAGTTGTATGTCAACTGCACCTCTCTCTCTCTCTCTTTCTCACACACACACACACACACAGAATTTTGCTTATAGTGATTGACACAGTAGAAAATCATGATATCCAAAACAGAAAACTAAGAACCTAACTTGCAAATTGTTATTAATTCTAACCTGCCTGTCAAACCTTCCTGGTCTAAGGAGAGCTTGATCCGAGATCTCCGGCCTGTTGGTTGCAGCAATAACAATCACTCCAGTGTTTCCATCGAACCCATCCATCTCTGTAAGCAATTGATTCAAAGTCTATTCTCTCTCATCATTCCCTCCTCCAATTCCAGTACCCCTCTGTCTCCCTACCACATCTATCTCATCAATGAACACCAAGCAAGGTGCATTTGCCTTTGCCTTGTTGAAGAGATCTCTCACCCTAGGAGCTCCAACTCCAACAAACATCTCTATGAATTCAGATCTAGAGAGAGAGAAATGGCACCCCAGCTTCTCCAGCTATGGCCTTAGCCAAAAGGGTCTTTCCAGTACCTGGAGGACGGACGAGTAAAACTCCCTTTGGTATTCTAGCTCCAATCGCTGAGAACTTTTCCGGGGTCTTCAAGAAGTCGGCTATCTCTCTAAAATCTTGTTTAAGCTTCATCGACCTCTGCAACATCGTCGAAGGTGACCCCTGTGTTAGGTTCCGTTTGAAACATTGCTTTAGACCTTTCTAACCCAAACGGCAAATTAGTGCCTCCTGGATTGTTCAATTGTGAGCTTCTCAAAAAGAGAGCTCCCAAAAGAAGCAATGGAAATGCTAAATTTCCTAAGAGGTTCAAAATGGCATCAGTCATGTTGATTTCAAGTGGATGAACTGCAAAATCTACATCTTTTTCCTTGAGTTTTCTCAGCAATTCTTGAGGGAGACCAGGTAACTGGACTCGAACTCTTTGAATTTTGTTGAGAACAGGGTTGTTTCCATTCTCAAAGAGATCAACCTTTTTCACAGCTCCTTGGTCTAAATACTCTAAGAACCTTGAATATGACATCCTACTTGATGAGGCTTCTTGTGGGCTCTCTGGTTCAGCTTGAGCTTTTTGAACCAGAGAGACCCCAGCTGTTAAAGAAACCAGACTTGATCTCAACAATTTACTTCTTGTTATACTATCATCATGGAGCTTTTTAGTGGGAATTTGATTTGGGCTTTCCCTTAAAGTAGCAGCTATCTTAAGAGGTTTCTTTCTCCAAACTCCATCAGTTGAGAAATCTAAGGTTTTGGGGAAGGTGTGAAGAGAGATAGTGAGAGAGAGAGTGGATGACATCTTTCTTAAACAAGATTTGTTCTTGTTTAAGAACTTTGCTACAATCCTTCTTCGCTCCTACTATTATGTTTCTCTCATCAAGGTTGAGGTCCCTTGATTCCTCCAGTAGGTCCAACTGGTGATAGCTCTGGCCTTTTAAGTTTGCCTTTCAGAAATCACAGCTTCCTGGTTAACCCAAAACCTGCCACCCCCCACCCCTGTACTGAGGAGGAGGACCACCATGGCTACAAGCGCATAAAACCCCAAGAAAAGTTACGTCATTTGGTTCCTCTCTTCCCAATCTTTGCATCATATCGAAGACCTGTAATGCATCCTCGGCATGGCCATGCATGGCTAAGCTCATAATCATGGCATTCCGTGTCACTATGCATAAAACCCCAAGAAAAGTTACGTCATTTGGTTCCTCTCTTCCCAATCTTTGCATCATATCGAAGACCTGTAATGCATGCTCGGCGTGGCCATGCATGGCTAAGCTCATAATCATGGCATTCCATGTCACTATGTTTCTACGAGGCATGTTATCAAATATTTTGCGTGCGTGCTGAATGCCTCAGCATTTCCCATACATGTCTATGAGAGTGTTGCAGACTGATACGACACTGTCAAGACCTGTTTCTTGAGAATAAGAATGAACCCATCTACCAAAATCGAGAGCACCTATGTTTGCACAAGCCGAGAGGATGGTTACTATCGTGGCTTCATCCGGCTCCATCCCAATTCGTTGCATCCTTATGAACATTCTCAATGCTTCTTTTGATTGCCCACATTGGACATAGCGGTCGATTATGGTGTTCCATGACACTAAATCATGGATGGGCATGTACTTGAACAGTTGGTTTGCACTCTCAATATCTCTGCGCATTGCATACATGTGGATGAGAGTATTGGGTACAAAGACATGGGAGTCCAGACCGTGCTTTGTCGATGTGCAATGGGCTTGCTTGCCCAATTCTAGAACAGAGTCTTGAGCACATATCTTGAGCAAGAAAGACATGGTGAAATTGTCAATGGCCTTGCCTTTTTGCCGCATCTTCTGATAGAATCTGAAGGTTTCAAATGAGTTGCCGAATCGTCCAAAGCCTCTAATCATGGTGTTCCATATGAACCCATAAGGGTGCTTCATTTGCTGGAAGACCAACAAAGAATTGTCCATGGATCCTTGCACTGAAATAGCACAGAAAGTAAAGATCTTGCTCATAATGAACACATTTTGATCGAAACCAGTTTGTATTATTTGGGTATGGAGCTGGTGTAAATCTCTCATTGAGAAGCATGAGTTTAAGAGAGAGAGAGAAGTGTTTCTTATCTCGATTTGGAGGTGTTTGTAGTGGTTGTTAGAGAGAAAAATGAATGAGAAGAAGAGACTATAATGAATCTGGTTAGCCTGCGAACCCCAGTTGGGGAAAGACTAAAGAATCCAAGCATGTCACCCCCTTCATTTGTGTGTGTTATTTTGGCACCAGCTTTTGTGATTCTCTCTATGCTTTCACGTATATGATTATTTTTGAGAGGCAGTTAAGGTACTCATATTTGAAGAACAAGTAGCATCAACCCCTTAGGCCTATTATTATGGTGAGTAGCATTTGATTTTTAACTATATACATAGAACTATTGAATTTTCAAGGACATTCTTAGGAAGGCGGTTTCTATTTAAGAGCATAAGTCTCTTAGCTAATACCCAGAGTTTTCAAATATATTGGACTTGCATAAACATATGATCAACCAAATATCTATAATTGCAGAGTCCAGTGCTACCATAAAATCTCCATTTTTATCTTCTCAAACGTGAAAGTATACTCTAATCCAATGGACTGCGAAGCAACCGTAATCAATTGGGCCATCACTGTCAGTTGAATAACAATGACTAAGAGAGAGTGAGATCCATCAGAATGGTGTAATCATGGTGGTTTTCTCTCTCCATCAGCATCCATCATTTCATTGAACAGTGATGATCCAACAAGCCATAGTTTGGATCATGCTTTAACAATTTTCCCTATTCGTTCCATTCGTGTCATATTCACGATACTATAATTCACCATTTCCTTTCAATAAAATGACTTACAAGTTCTAAGTTTGAGACGGTTTTGAATCAAACAAGAAATGAATGAGCTCACTATCCATTTCGATGGAGCTACATCAGGCTCCTTCTTCACTCCCCTATCTCCCATCAATCTCCTCACATTCACAGCACCACCCCATTCACCAATAGATGCATTTTGGATCATGCTTTAACAATTTTCCCTATTCGTTCCATTCGTGTCATATTCACGATGCTATAATTCACCATTTCCTTCTAATAAAATGACTTACAAGTTCAAGTTTGAGATGGGTTTTGAATCAAACACGAAATGAATGAGCTCACTATCCATTTCGATGGAGCTACATCCGGGCACCTTCTTCACTCCCCTATCTCCCATCAATCTCCTCACATTCACAGCACCACCCCATTCATCAATAGATGCATACACATTGTAGTCCCCGCTCTTATCAGGCCTCAATTCAAGCAGCCTCTTAGTAGCTACCTCAGCCAATTCAACATTCCTATGAATCCTACAAGCCCCATGTAAAGTTCTCCACACTATCCCATTGGCCTCCATCGGCATCGCTTCAACAAAGCCAAAGGCCTCTTTCAGCAAACCAGCTCGCCCGAGCATATCGACCATGCATCCTTAGTGCTTAATATTTTGCTCAATCCCATAATTCTCTCTCATCAATTCAAACTATTTCCGCCCTTCATCGACCATCCTGACATGGCTACAAGCCACCAAAACCCCAACAAATGTGATCTCATTTGGCCTCATGTCTCCTCCTTGCATCTCAGAGAACATAGAAATGGCTTCTTTGCCATATCCATGAAAAGCCAATCCCCCAATCACCGAATTCCACGAAGAAACATCTATGTCTCTCATCTCTCTAAACATGCGCATAGCGCTCTCTATGCTCCCACACTTTGCGTACATATCTACGAGCACGTTGCCCAGAACCACGGTTATGTCTCTAGAACAATTGTTGGTCAAGAGAGAGTGAATCTTCCTGCCAATATCCAATGCCCCGGGATGAGCACATGAAGAGAGCAAGCTCAACATGGTCACATCATCAGGGGCTTCACCCTCTCTTCGCATCTCTTCAAATAATTCTAAAGCATTGACATGAGAACCAGCCAGCACATAGCCTGATATCATTGCATTCCAAGACACCACATCTCTCTCTTTGATCTCGTCAAACAACCGACGAGCCGATTCCATGTCTCCACACTTCGTATAAGCAGTGAGCATCACATTCCAAGCAACCAAAACTTTGTTGGGCATTTCATCGAACAAATTTCTTGCAAAAACAATGCTTCATCTTCTTGCATGGCCAGAAAAAGAGCAGA